GGCCCATGACCCGGACGCAGAACCCGCATCGTTCGAGATGCTGGTACCAGAGCATTACCAGGACTTCCGGGACATGTTCTCGAAAGACGCCTTCGACCAGTTACCCCCCGGAAGCCCTGGGATCACGCTATAGACCTGGTACCAGATGCCAAACTGCCCAGGGGGAAGACCTTCCCCCTCTCGTGCCCGGAGCAGAAAGAACTGGATGAGTTCCTGCATGAGAACCTGCAGAACAGGCAGATACAACCGTCTAAGTCTCCGATGGGTGCACCAGTCTTCTTTGTCAAGAAGAAGGACGGATCACTACGCTGTAGGAGAAATAACGGCCACACTATGGAAACCCATTATGGAAATATGCCAGATAAATCACACAACCTCATATGACAAGTAGATATGAGAAAATAGAAGGACACGAATTTTTACGAATTATTATGACTACACACGATAAATCGAAAGAAAGAAAAATAGCAAAAATACTTCAAGCTTACCATCAACGAGACGGAATTCTCGGGGGAATTTATAGCAAATATTAAACCAAGAATTAGGACAATCGACCAAGATTTGACTATAAAAACAATCAGAGAACCTCCATGGAAACTACTTTCCCACGTCCGCACACGTAGCCAAGGATGGAAGTACCACAGAACAAGGATTCCTCAGGAACTAATGCAAAATTCAAAGTCGTGTTTATAATAGGAAATATAGATGTCCACCAAACGGACCCAATGAGAGTAATTACAGGGGAAACTACTCATAAACAACGGAGATATGACTAAAACTCCTGCAAAAAAAAAACGAGGACAATACCTAAAAGGGAAGCACGAAGATTAACCAGTAACGACCGAGACAAGCTTGATAGCCCATTAGAAAGGAAGGGATCCAATCTTACTCCTCCCAAATTTTCATAATAAAAGGATCATGCGTTAATGAGATATCCAATAACGGGATTAGTGACATCAAAAGTCCGAGCTTAGGGAAAAGACGATGGTTGCGTAGGATCCATAATTAAAACATACAACGAAATTTACACGGAAATTATTAAAAATGGGGAACTATAGTTATGCCAATTTTCAGCCCAAACAGTCCAGCCGTTGTGAAGTTATACCCATGACGGGAATATAGAAATCCGCATCATGTGTAATGACACGTGAGGGTGGCGATGCACAGGGAACCGGCCATCGGAACCGAGATCCGCACTTCGGCAGATCGCGAAGACCAATTTCCGTCCAAATAAGGAAGAGCCCGGTCAAAACAAAGCACGGAAAGTGCAAAACAACCTTAGATCATGAGGGAAAAATCTGAAATAAATCACAGAAGCCCATATGAAAGAAATAAACACCCATGCATATCATAAATCCCGAACAATTAAACGGAAACGGCGCCCACATACGAACGACTATGGGAATGACACACGTGATTACCGAATGTGCGCGCGAACTTTCGCTAACTCAACAAATACCAGGAAATAGGACACAACCTTAGTACCATTGGAAAGGTGGGAATAAATGAAAATTTATGATACCAAGAACGTGAGAAAACATCCAGAAATGAATGAGATATAGGGACATGAAGTTAGAAACCTGAAAATGCGCAGGAAAACAGCTTCAAGAGGTCCAGAGTCCTAAATAAAATACATAAAAATATGAAATCTTCAAGGACGACCTACTATAACAACGAACAATACATATGGAGGATTAGGATGTGATAATACAAAGGGGAATTAGGGAATATGAACGAAATTCACGAAAACCACTAAACTACGACGGACCATGGTGGGAATTTTAGGGAACGATATTCTAATGAAGTGGAGAGCTATAACACATTCGTTTGAGTAATTCTTGACTACTAGCAACTTTTTCTTTCAGTTCTAAACCTGAATAATTCACTCATTTACCATTTCAGTCTCATTTTAACTAAATGTCACTAAATAAAAATGGAATAAATCAGCTGAAGGTCTCAGCACAGCCGTACGCATAGTAATGCGAAGTTTGAATTCAGAATCATCGAGTCATAGCAAATTTAATGGTATATATAGGGAATTTGAAATAGGTAACTGTGGCAAATGCAGCACAGCCAAGTTCCAATTAACCATTAAAATAGCTTAGGCGAGGGAGGACAATAAGAATTCTAGGCGCAGTCTGACCGCAGTTCAGCACAGCAAAAGCGCAGTAGAACTATAGCATGAAATTTTCATTTTTATTCAGTCTGAGAAAAATACACTGTAAATAAATCCTGTAAATAGAAGGTAGAGCGTGAAAAAGGAAGGCGACCCAAGGAGTATAAAAGGGAGACCCTTTCTGCGACTTTTTGCCCCCCTTAGAGAAGTAAGAAAATAGAGTATTATTTTTCTCAAGCATTTCTGGTTGTCACTCCAGTGCGACAAAGTGATATACAGTTAAGATTGCCACTGTAGTAAAAGGCAGCAATTAAGGAGAGAAATATTAAGTAGATATTTCAACAGGAGAGCTGGTTAACACTCCAGATTTCAAAGTGTAAACACAAAACAGTTATCTTGCTACTGTTAAAACAAGCAATAAAATAAGACAAAAATAAAATAAACCCAAGGGACACTCCAGACACAATCCAAATTCATTAACTGAATAGAATCTTTGAAACTTCACCAAGTAGAAGATTAAATTCAAATTTAAAACCAAATTAAACAACGCTACACAGAATTACACCTAGACAAATTAATAAATTCCAATAAAGAAACAGCTCCGCAGGGCTCGGTTTATCTGTAATTCAATTCCCAGGAACTTTAAAACTAACCCATAAAAATAGAATTAGCCAAAACACTTGGATTGGCACTATATTCACAATAAACAACACTAGTACACTTCCCCATCCTAACTAAAGAACCAGGGAACAGCTTGGTGGTGGTCTCGTTTGAACCTCCCAACTGACCTTCCTTCATTCTCTCCTTCAATGCCTGGTACAGGACTACTGGAAGCTGAACGAGATCACCGTGAAGAACTCGTACCCACTCCCACTCATCTCGGACGTCCTCGCCCACCTCCGGAATGCCAAATACTTCTCCGTCCTGGACTTGCGCTGGGGGTTTAACAATGTCCGGATCAAAGATGGGGACGAGTGGAAGGCAGCATTTGCGACCAACTGAGGGCTGTTCGAACCTATGGTAATGTTCTTTGGGCTGTGTAACTCCCCTGCGACTTTCCAAACTATGATGAATGACATCCTTAGGGATTTCATTGACCGGGAAGTCGTTATCTGCTACATGGATGACATTCTCATCTTCACAGCCACCCTGGAGGAGCATCGGAAGGTCGTCCGAGATGTCCTGGAGACGCTGCAAAAGAGGAGGCTCTTCCTGAAGCCAGAAAAATGCAAGTTCAAGCAGACCCAGATCGAGTACCTCGGCCTCGTCATCTCGGAGGGTAGCATTGCCATGGACCCCGTAAAGGTCCGTGGAGTCCTTGACTGGCCAACCCCAACCAAAGTGAAGGAAGTGCAGTCCTTCCTGGGGATTGTGAACTTCTATTGCCGGTTCATCAAAGACTTCTCTGAGAAGGCACACCCGCTCCACAAGTGTCAGGGGACGGACCCTGGGTCCCCATGACCCCTCTCTCTATAGCCCACAGCCCAACCCGTAACAGCCTAGTCTCAAGGCAAAGAGCTACTGTGGGTAAGAAAGTGATATAAACAAAGGGGCAAGTAGATACACTTGCCTACTGTGGGTAAGAAAGTGAGAAGAAGGTTAACTTCTCACTTTCCCACAGTGGCCCCAATATGGCGAAAACTTCCGGGGATACCCGGAAGTCACATGAGGTGGGATCCGGGGTCGGATCATGCGGCGCACGGAGCATGCGGCGCAGGAAGTGCGCGGGAAGTGGAGCGGGTCCGGACGCGGGTCCGGGTCCAGGCTAAGTCAGGGTATGTGCCCTGACAACAAGCTGACCCGAAAGGCCCAAACCTGGAACTGGGGCACGGATGAAGATGACGCTTTCCATACCCTCAAAGAAGCTGTCACCACTGCCCCAGTTCTCTCCTTCCCCTCTGACTCTGGCTGCTTCAAACTCGAATGCGATGCCTCCAACTTCGCAACCGGTGCGGTCCTCTCCCAGCTTCAACCCGATGGGGAGTTCCACCCGGTAGCATTCATGTCCAAGAGCTTTATGGACATGGAACATAACTACAAAGTGTATGACAAAGAGATGCTCGTGATCGTCTGAGCCCTTGAGGAATGGTGACACTTCCTAGAGGGCGCTGAAGAGAAGGTCGAGGTCTACACCGATCACCGCAACCTGGGGTACTTCCAGATGGCCCAGAGGCTAAATCGCCACCAGGCCTGATGGTCCCTCTTCCTCTCCCGCTTCCACTTCACCCTTGTCCATCGCCCTGGGAAGCTCATGGGAAAACCGGATGCACTCTCCCATCATGCTGACCACCTGAAAGGGAAAGATGACAACGAAGGGCTGACCCTCCTCCAACCAGCCTGGTTTGAGGAGGTACTCTCCAAAAGTGTAATCCTGCATCACAAAATCATGAGGAGTCATGACATATCACAAAATTTCATGACCCCTCATGACATGTCATGACAATTGAATTGAATCAGACATTTTTTACATTCAAAAATTTGGATTTCATGACAGTCCGTGACAAATTGTCATGAACCGTCATGAACCGTCATGTGCTGACAAGGTTCATGACGGCTGGTGACACAATTTGACATGATGCCTCATGGAGGTTCATGAGTGGTCATGATGGGTCATGGAGTGTCATATGTTTATTTTGACCTTTCCTCATCATGTAAAATCCTATAATGTTCCATGATGCATCATGGACATTCATGATGCTCCATGAACATGTATGATGGGTCATGAGCATGCATGAATATGCATGAGATGTCACAAGCGCTTATGAACTGTCATGTGACATCATGTGGCTGTGTTAAACTTTCGCACTTGCTACCACCTCACACTCACACAACTATCACTGCACCCTACTGTGCTTTATTTGAGCTTGAATATCAATCACCTCTCATGGCTCACCCTTTTGGTCAACAATCAGAGACTGGGCAGTGTAGGAGCACCAGGATTCGTGACAAAGGGGCTCCTCAAGCCCCTAAACCCTCCCCAGCCTCAGGCAGCCAGAAGAAGGCCCAGGATTCAACCTTGGCTAGTGGCTCTAAGCGACAAAACACTAAGAAGACCTCTGCAGCTGCTAAGACTGGGACTGGGACTGTGGCTGAAGGTGATAATGATAATGACCCGGCACCGGGCCCCTCCATTGCCCCTCCAGGTCGAACTCGCAAACGGGCTGCAAGCCCAGAACCAAAAGTCCCTACTGCACCTTCCTCTACAGTCCAGGCAGCTAAAGCAGGAAGAAAGAGGGCAAAACAAGATGTGAGCCAATTTTTCTTTGCAAAAATAACTTTAAAAAATCAACTCCCAACCCTTTCGGATAGGATTCGAAAGGGAAGGGTGCTACTCAGCAAACACACTTTGCTGAGGGAGTCACTGCAATTTCTGACTCCATGTCTGAATCAGCAAAGTCCAAATCAACTCTTCAAATTTCGGTAAGTTTTAACTTACTTAATACATACCTGAGAGTAAACCCTTATTATTACAGGATACTGCTCCAAGTGCAGTGGACACTGAAAGCAGAGATGATGCAACTGGTGACTTTGAAGAGTTCGATATCCCCAGCAGTGATGAGGATGTTGATGAAGACAGAAACCAACAGGACGAAGATAACAAAGAACAAGATACTATTCAGCTTTTGAGTGGTATGTTAAATGTTAATAAATGCTCCCATTATCCAGGAATTAACTCTCCCATTATTAGGATTGAAAGTTACAATCCAATTCATTGGTCCTGGGTCATCTCCATGGAACAATGTAATTTCCCCCTATAGCCATGCCGCTTGGCCATCCACTCAGGTTGAAGTGGATGGATGGAGTGTCTTGATGCAGGATATTCTTTCCACTGCCCAGGAGTATCTAGGTACTGATCGGATTACAAGTGAGTTTCTATCTCTAGCTGTCATAAACCCAAAGGTTCATTTTTTTCCCAATGATTTACTCAGATGAATCTCGTATCTCATACCTGGATGGCGAAGACACTATTCAACTTGGAAAAGTTGAGAGTGACTCTTGCAGGACATATCGTATCCATATTCTTCATGAACATCAAAGGATTATTTACATTTATAACTCAACATCCACTCTTACCCAAACTACTCAGCTTGGCCCCTCTATTCCTCACCCCAATCCAATGAATCCCACTATCCCATATACACCACCTACTGAACCAGCCCCTTCTGCCACAATTGGAAAGGCTTCCCTTGGGGAACTCAGTAACCTCTGGAAGGTGCAGCAAACTACAGAGAAGCAAGCCCAATTCAATGCTTTGAAGGACTCTCACCGTACAACAGCTCGCAGCATTTATGAGACACTAGCAATTGTGAAGGAGTTCACTCAATCTGTTCCAATTATCCCTGCTTCCTTTCCTGGACATGGAAAGGCTGTCCCTCTCTGAGAGCTCTGTATCGCTGTGACTTCCTGTAGTGACAGTACTGTTGCTCGCCATCTTATCATCTACAGTACCTACATGGAGTTCCAGAACAACCCTTGGGCACATCGTCTTGAATCAGTGTGGGACAATGAACCAGTCAAGGACCTCAAGTATGCATATGATGATCCAAACTCTGAGACAAAGGTTCATAGCCTCCAAGAAATCATCACATATCTCAAGTATCTCAAGGCAAATGGGGTGGAGCCAAACCAGAATAAGTAATTCTCAGTTTGTCATTTCTCAATCAAATTTTTGAGCAGAATGATTGTAACATTAGGAAATCCAATGTGTACCTACCTTTCAAATTGAGGAATGTTTTCAATGTCTTTGTACTCCTGTGTTTCCTGCCTATGGTGTATGCTTCAACTGCAATGGGCCTCGCAGAGACATTCACCTCAGCAACTCCAAGGATCATGGGCTATGCTATGGCTGTTATTCTTATTTTCATCCTGCGCAATGGGGAATATCTCCGTCACCATTATCTCCAATCCCAAGCGACCCTTAATCCCAACTTTCCATCTTCATGGATACGTCATCTCAGTGCCCACCTATTCTCCCAGGACTCACTTGCCCTTCCTCAACTGGACCAAAAGACCCAGAACTATCTTATCCTTGAAGCTGCAAATGGACTTGGGCTTTCACATGAATTCCTTTCAGACCCACACCTCATTCATTCACAACCAACCCTGTTAGGACCCAGTTATTTTGACTGCCAAGTGTGTGGTGGATGGTTGAAGCAAACTAGACAATGTGTGGATATATGGATTTTGGAGGATAATGGTGTCTACATTGGCCAGTTTGCACAGGGAAACTGCTAGTCTTGCAATACATCTCACTTTCCAGATCGCTATCGCACTTCTATCAATGGGAAACTTACCAATATTTTTAATCCTGATGCAGCTTATCTCCGCATTGGAGGTAATATCTGGATTAATTGGCAAGTTGCTCAAACCCAGCCCAATCTACGTTATACTGCACATATGTCATCTGAGGGCTTTGCATCATTCTATTCACAGCGATAGGGGAAGGATAAGATTTCCCTCCTTCCAAAGCATGCATGGAAGTTGTTTGTCTTACATGAGTCTGTTAGAGATGTGTCGCGGATTCAGATGACTCCGGAGTGGAATCGGAGACTTAGTGTGGAGGGACCTTGGCCTCAGCGACTCAAGCGGAGTGCTGTGCCATTGCTGTTTGTCCATTTGGTCCTTAATTTCACAGTAGGCGAGCAGGAAGTCTCTAGGGGGCATTTCAGGTCGATTTCGGACTGAGCCAAAACGAGTATGTACAAGCGCCGATATATATAATGGAGGGGGCAAAGCACAAGGAAACAAAGGGGATCCAAATCGGAATGAAGATGTCCGAACGGGAACAAAGGGTAGACAGAAGCGGAGCGGTACCGAAGGTCATAAGGCAGGACCTGTGATACGTCCAAAAGGAGGTAGGGAGGGCGAGGCCCAGAGGGGCAGGAGGATGAGGAGAAGTGGGGATGATGACTAACTGGCTAGAATGGGAAGAAGCAGTAGTCCAAATAGGGGTGAGGGGAAAACGCGAGAGATACATTACAAGCAGCGAAAGTGCCGAAGGCAATCTGCGAAGCTCAGAGGTTGCGGAGCTTACAGAGGTTACAGAGGCGGGGTTGAAAGTCTGAGGAATATTGGCAATGGTGTTTACGTAGTATGAGGTCACCAATGCAATGGACTAAGACCAAGGTGGAGTCAAAGTCCGAGGTAGGGACTATGATGGAGGCTCGGAGCAAAGGTACGAGTGGTGCCCGAGTACGAAGTATGGGACAGCAGTGGAAGGTCGTAACTTGGCAGGAGGTCAGCAGAAGAGTACCCAAGGGAGGAGAGAGGAGAAAGGTAAGAGAGAAGGAGTGGCAGAAAGGAGAGTTGTCAGGTCCGAAGGTGAGTATCGGAGTGGATGGGGGAAGCGTAGGAGGGTGATGGAAGGGTGGAGGTGTTGTGAAGGAGGAGTGGAGTAGGAGGAGGAGGAGTAGTAGGAGGGTGGCGAGAGGGGCGGTGTTCAGTCCGAGGTGAGTATCGGAGCAGATGGAGATAGGGAGGAGAGGGAAGGAGGAGTAGAGGTGGCATGGGAGGTAAAAGGAGGTGTGTTGCCAGGACCGAAGGTGAGTATCGGAACAGGCAGCGGTAGGGTAGGACTCCGGAGGCAGGGAAGGAGGAGGTCCGGAAGTCGGGTCGGGATTGGGTATGTATGGATATGACAGAGTCCCTCAAGTTGTGCAAAGCTACCAATCATGAGCTTGTTCTTCCATCACACACAAGCATCACAGCTTTGGCTTCAAAGATGCAAGAAAAAATTTTCCCTGGAGCTGTCAAGACAATCCAAGGTGCACTTGCTCATCGGTGTGCTCAGTGCTTCCACCCATACTGATCCCTGCAAGATGGAACTGCAGTATGTGATCTACTTACTATTTTTACTTTCCCTTGCTAACTCCTTCCAACCAGCAAGTGACATTTAATGATGATCAGGAGGTTGATATGATTGTGGTGGATGGCATTTGCATGGGACATCGCCTTTGTGCAATGCCTAAATGCCCTAACCTTCCACTTAATTTTCACTCAAAGAAACTCTGTGCAGAACATGAAAGGAGTAGGGGCCATTTATGTGGCATAGTCTCTTGTCAGAATCCACGTGTAACAGCCCCCTTGAACTCTGGTGCTTGTAGTCTCCCTGACCATCAACAATGCTGGGAGGCATTCTCTAGAACACATGATAAGGAGTCATATGGAGCATATTGCAGGGTCATATGGAACCAACAAGGACAAGGCCTTCTTGGAGTTTCATCCCCAACAGAGGAATGGGTTATGAATGCTCATCGCATTGCTCAGCAAGCCCTACCTGCTCCAGAGGATCCCGAGCAAGTCATTCCACATCATCATCGTGATGGTGAGGCACCATCTCCAAGTGCATCATCCCGATCCACTCCATGTGGGCAGCACACATGGCAATATAGACATGTATATTGCCTTGAAACTCTCACCCATCCATGTGGTTGTATTGTGGCTTGGACTAAATATATGGTGTCTGAAAGCCCAACCAATATTCTTCATACACTTGAAGAAGTCTTTCCAGATCCAGACTCCTGGCCATCATACATTGTGATTGATAAGGCATGTAGAATCCTGGCTACACTGATGAGCCAAGGACAGCATCACAGATGGTTTCAAACATCCCGTTTTCTGGTTGATGCTTTCCATTTCAGGAACCACCACAATGACCCTACATGCCAGAAATATTGCAATCCAACCCCTCAAGTCAAAGATGACCCAAATTTGGTTCTTCCTATTCAAGATGGAAATAGTCAACAAGCTCGGTTTCAGTGTGCTTTCAATACAGAGGCTGCAGAGCAGTTGAATGCTTGGTTTGGAGGCTATGCTTCACAGCTAAGTCATATGCATCCAGCCAATCATGATTTTCTTGTGCATGTGATGCTTTCATATCACTTTGAAGTTAAGGGTAACATGTAATTACACCATTATGCCCACACCTGTCATTGCCATACCTACCAAGAATCCAAATTTATGATCAATCATAATGATTCATGGGAAGACTCTGTCATATCCATCCCCGGCCATCGACTTCCGGTCCCTCCGATCCCTCCGGTCTACCTCCGCTCCTTCCTCACTAAACCTCGGAGCTCCCATATTCCGCAATCCCCTTGGTACCCCTCGATGGTCACCACCTCCTCCTTTCAATTTATTACCTATGCCTCCCTAAGTACGGAGCCCCGAAGACTTCCGGACAGCTCCGACGTCCGCTAGCGCACTCCCGCCTCCGCTGGGCAATACACTCGCCTGCCCTGCAGAGCCCACCTTTGGGCCTATCCCTCCTTTCCGTTTCTGGGTTATCGCCTGCCTTTCCGCTAACCCCGCGACCCAACTCGTCGGTAATATTCAGTCGGCTAATGTTTAACCTGTCATATCCATACAATCCCGACCTCCGCTCCGGGCTCCTGGAACTCCGAACTCCGACTTCCAGAGCCCTACTTCCCTTCCGTCACCTTCTCCTTGCCGACTCCCAAGAGGTTATCCCACCTCCGGCTCGGACACCACCTTCGGTCCGACTCTGGAACATTCCGGGTCCGACCCCAATCTCGACACCTTCCAGACGAGTACACAAAACCTATGCTCCCGACTCCGGACCTCCGCTCCGGAATCCCGTTCACGTCTCCGTCTCCGGAACCTCCGGTCTTAGCTCCGACCTCGGACTTTGACCCCACCTCCGCTTATACCCATTGTATTGGTTAGCTCATTCCATTTAATTGCCTTTGCCAATATTCCGGAGTTTAACTTCCGGGTTCGGACTTTCCGGACTTACCTCGGACCTTGCAACTATTGCATTGTCCTATTCAATTCCGCTATTCTCCCTCATTCCTAGTTGGGCTGCTGCTTCCTTTCTATTCAGTCAGCTAGCCATTCCCCACTCCCAACCTCCTTCCTTCCTCCTTGGGCCTTGGCCCTTCATTCCTCCTTTGAGAAACACCATTGAGTCAAACCCTTGACCCTCGGTGTTGTTCCTCTTTCCATCTCCCTTTGTCTCCTTTCGTCCTACCCTTGTTCCTTTTGATTCCGGACCCCTCCTTATATACAATGTACCTAGTAACTTGTAACCTCAGTCCGAAATCGACATGAATTCCCCCAAGAGACTTTCCCTCTGCCGAAATTAGGGACCCCTAGGACAACCAGCAATGGCACAGCGCTCCGCATGAGTCACTGAGGCCGAGGTCCTTCCACGATAAGTCTCCGATTCCATTCCAGAGTCGTCCGAGTCCGCCCATTCTAACATAACCCCATTAGCTCCGCTCCGTTCGGCTCTGCCAATTGCGGACCCGTCTTCGCTGTAACCATATATATATATCCCACTTGTACATAGGTTACACCCCAGTAGTAAAATCAACTAGAGTTACCCCCTTAGGTTCTGATTGCCAGTCAGTAAGTTAGGGC